GCCACTGACTCGACTCGACTCGACTCGATCAAAAACTGAAATGACTCGACTCGACTCGTGACTCGACCTTTGAGTGACTCGACTCGACTCGTGACTCGACCTGTAGGTGACTCGTTACAACACTGCAAAATCCGCGATCCGATAATGGTCTTGTCTAAATTTGGATCTGCTAAAAGCTCTACTAGGTATGAAGTCACAATCCAGGATCCGAACTAAATTGCAAGCTAAATCCACAACCCGAGCCAAAATATTAGATAAATCCGCAATCTGCTTTATTAATATGATCCGCAAATTCGTGTAACTAAATACTTGCCAGATCCAAAATCCGAACAATTTTCTGTGAAATCTGACGATCCGAAAACCTATTCACCCCCTGTCGTGTTTGCACTTACCTGAAAACTGCGATACCCAACTTAGCTGAAAGTAGTATAGGAAAGAGAGGTAGCCGCCACCCCCACCCTCTCAAAAATATAGATCAAACGCGTTCCGCCGCCACTGACTTATCCTGACCATCTACCTTGTTCTGACCATCGACCGTGCTAGGCAGAGGTGTAGGGTTATCTAACTTGTGCATTGGTGCTTCTATAAAACCGCCATGAGAAATTGCTTTCGACTTCAGCATAAGTAAGGTACAAAAAGTTAAGATTTTTCAGCCCGTATTTTAAGTGTTTAGTGGTTTCCTGTATTTCAGACTGGTGGCTTCAATTCACTGCTTCCTCTATGCGAGTTTCACTATTTACGCGGGCATCGGACTATTACATCTACAGTAGAGTCACCAATTAATTGTAAAATTCTCACCATATTTGGAAGAGATTTTGGGAAATGAGAATCTTCATGTTTAACTTCAGCTTTCGCGTTGCCTGCTGCATCTATCAATGTCTCTCGATGCTCCAAAATGTGTTTCTTTGCAACACGATTTCTTTTCCTCGGTGTCGATACAGTGGTTAGCATGGATTTTCTTAACAGTTTAAAGAAAAAAAAACAATTATATGGTTTTGACCTTTTACCAATTATTCCAAAATCTAATTACGCAAATACATTGTACTGTACGTATATAATTACAAATTTTTCGATCATATACTGGACACCTATTATAACGATGTGAAGCTAAACTGAGTGTGTGGTCTTCAAAACGCGGAAACGGGAGGGACGACCATTAGGTCTTCTGCTAAGGGCTGTAATTAGATATTTGATTAAAGCTTTCGATACATTTTCCTGTTGGCGCCTCTCCCCTTCCCAACACAGTTTCTCTTGAATAAAAGTGGAGATCCAGGCCCCCTGTTTCCCCATGGGCCATGGCCTCGCCACTGTTGAACTGCTGGATTAAACAGGGCTACAGTATACTCTTCATCGAAAATGGTCGTTACAAACATCATTGTTACATAGTCATTCATGGGTAAAATCTGCTATATATTATGTTTCATGTTTCCAGCATGTCATGTAAATATAAGGAAGTTTGTGTATTGTGTAGTCTCACGGTTTGTTGAATATGTATCGTGACAACTGACAAGATACCAGGCAGTATGATGAAAACTAAATGCTAAACGTCTACATAAGGGGCAAAACAGATACATGCAAATGTACGGACTTTTTGTTTAGAAGCTAGTGACCCAAAGTTGAAAAGAGTTTCACACTCTTCTTCTTTTTCAATTCTGCATCCTATAAAGTACACAGCTATATTGTTTTCTATACCTCTTGTGTATAGCTGCTATAATTTTTTCTACTTCTTCCATGTTTTCAATCTCGACCTTCAGTCCTTTTACTTCAATGCCAACCAGTGAGAGTTCTTTCTGTAAACGTTCTTTTATTCCTCCAGATTTATAGTCCGCCAGAACTTCAAGAAATCGTTCATCCGTGAAACAACGAAGTAAAACATGTAGAGATCCTGGTTTGATCTCCCGAACTTCTTGGTCATCTCTTTCACTACCACCGAAGACTTTATCAATAACTGCATCAACTGCTGGTATTGCCAATTTATAAAAAGCGTAAATGGTACCAAGTGTAACTGCAGTTCTGCTTAATTCTTTTGTTATCTCAACTGCAGTACCGCGTAATTCTTTTGTTATCTTAACTGCAGTATCGCATAATTCTTTTGCTACTTCCACGTTGTCAGTGGTAATTATAAAAAAGAAGTTACCACCTGCACTAGCTTGAAGAGCTGCTTTTCCAACTTCTGAAAGTGATTCTGCCATTACAAAATTTAGTAGAAAATTCTGAAATTAAGAAAACACTAAATTTTATTAAGGCAAAATAGTAAAAAGACCTTGTTGCTACTTAATTAAACCTGTTCTATAAAACACTTTCCCCCAACACATACGTCAGACTACACGGACATTCACTAAAGCTCTTTTTCATATATTGAATCAGTTGCAGCGGCGACAGAAAAAAGTAAGCAATGTATTATTTATTTGTACCAGAGATTGGAGTGATAAAGGCGGGGGGGGGGGCATTTTTTGAAAAGATATCTTTCTGTGAGATAACATATCAGAGAAGGATAGCCATGGCCGAAGGCCACGTGTGTGGCCGACATACCACGCATGACTAGGTGGGTCTGGAGGCATACTCCCCCAGCAAATTTTTGAAATTTGAATTTGAGCCCGGAAATGTTATTTCCTGCATTCTGAGCATTCCAACTTATGCTAACTATATTTGTATTTGAAATAAAAGAAGAAAAAATCGCACAAAAAATTAAAAATATTAACAATATTATCATTACTTCGCTATAGTGCTGGATAAACGTAACAATTTAAGTCGATTTTATTCAGACAAGAACAAATGATAATCCCTAAAATTTACTTTCCGTTTACCTATTTGTTATTATTCGCTCGCTTCTTTGTGTAAATTTAGGAAAAAGGAACTTTTCCTGGGGAGGGGGGTGGAGACTGGGGGCATTCCTCCCCATCTTGTATGTTAAAAAATTAAGCCCTGATTTCAACTCGACAGAAAAATACAAAGCGCGACATTCGGTTTAATCCAGTAAACTCGGTTAACTGAGTAAATTCGCTGGATCGCTGAGTAAATTCGTAAGATCCGAGCAGGAATTGGGGGAGGTATGATAGTCGGGCAGATAGAAGGAAAGAACTTACTATATCGTGGCACAATTCCATTTTGCCTTCATATTGTGCCCTGAAGGCTAATAAGTACGTTTCTGTATGTTGCCCGTGTTAAAATTTCTTGTGGAAATTTCAAATATATTTCTAATACAAATGACTTGCATCATTTGAAAGCTTGCAAAAAACTACATATAAGACATTTAAACGGTTACCAGGGATTTTCAAGTTCTAATCTTTAGTTGTTGAATGCCGCCAGGAATTTTGCGAGTTTTTGGCTTATTTTTCACATTTAAAACAGCAACAACTCGAAAACTAACCATTTAAATGTCTTATAATTTTTATGTAGTTTTTTGTTAGCTTTCTATTGATGCAAGTCATTTGTATTAGAAATGTATTTGAAATCTCACATTTTTAACTGTAATAAAGTTTAATACAAAATTCGAAGAAAAACTTGTCGGCAGGAGCCCACAAGAAATTTTAACGCGGCCAACATACAGAATATACAATTACTTTATGGTTTCCGTGTTTGGATGGCCTGATCCAAACACGCGGGAATGTTGCGAGAGTTAAGAAAAGCGAGCGAAATCACGAGCCGAAGGCGAGTGATTTTGCCCGCTTTTCTTAACTCGAGCAGCATTCCCAAGTGTTTGGATCAGTCCATCCAAACACGGAAACCATAAAGTAATTGTTTTATAAAATAACAACAACACGGTAGTCTTCCGTGTTTGGATGGCCTGATCCAAACACGGCTTTCGACCAATCAGAATACGCGTTATATACATGTTATTTTATAAACGTGCTTACTAGCCTTCATTGCACAATATGAAGGCAAAATGGAATTGTCCCACGATATAGTAAGTTTTCCATAA